TATTCTAAAAGGTTTAGAATTGATTTTTGAAGGGCTCAGAAACATTTTCTAAAGGGCTTAGAAACTGTTTCTGAAGGGTTCATAAATTATTTCTCACCGTTGAAGAATATTCTTCTGAAGGATTTAGAGTATTTTTAAAACAACAATAATATTTTTTCTGAAGGGTTTCAAAAATAGATTCTCAAGATAGCGTGTATATGAAAAGAAGAGTAATTTTTTGTAGGGTTCAGAATCATTTTCTGAAGGGTTCAAATACATTTTCTGGAGGGCTCAGAATTTTTTTTTGAAAGGTTCAGAATTTTTTTCTGAAAGATTTAGAATTGATTTTCGAAGGATTCAAAAAAAATTCTAAAAGGTTCATAAATTTTTCTGAAAGACTCAGAAATATTTTCTGAAGGGTTCAGAATTGCTTTCTGAAGGGTTTAAAATTAATTTATGAATGGTTCACAATATGTTTCTTGAGAATATTCTGAAGGGTTCAGAATTGACTTCTGAAGGATTTAGAAACATTTTCAGAAGAGTTTAGAACTGATTTCTCACCGTTTGAGAATATTTTTTTGAAGGGTTCAAATTATTTTTGAAACAACTACAATATTCTTTCTTAAGGCTTTCAAAAATAATTTCTCAAGATAGCATGTATGTGAAAAAGTCATTTTTTGAGCATTTTTTGAAGGGTTCAGAAACATTTTTTAAAAGACATAGAAACATTTTTTGAAAGGATCAGAAATATTTTTTGAAAGAAATATTTTTTGAAGAGTTCAAAAAATTTTCGAAGGATTGAGAAACATTTTCTGAAGGGTTCATAACTGATTTATGAAGGATTCATAAGATTTTTCTAAAGAATATTCTGAAAAGTTCAAAATTGATTTCTGAAAGGTTCTGAATTGACTTCTGAACGACTCAGAAACATTTTCTAAAGGGTCCAGAATTGATTTTCTGACAATTTAAGAATATTTTTCGTAAAGGTTCAGAATACTTTTGAAACAATTAAAATATTTTTTTTGAAGAGTTTCAAAATTAAATTTTCAAGATGTTTGTGTATGTGAAAAGAGTCATTTTCTGAATGGTTCAAAAAATATTTTTCTAAAAGGTTCAAAAACATTTTCTGAAAGATTAAAAAATATTTCTTGAGGGTTCAAAATTGATTTTAAAGGATTAAAATTTTATTCTTGAAAGGTTTAAACATATTTTATGAAGGATTCATAATTATTCCTTAAAGGTTCGAAAATGTTTCTGAAAGGCTCAAAAATATAGAATTGTTTTTTGGAAGGTTCATAATTAATTTTTTTTAAGGGTTCAATAATATTTTCAAAAATCGATTTGTGCTGCAGCTCTGATGGAACGAAACGCAGGTACCTTATTCTATACACAAACAACATAAAGCACAAACTGGATCATATCTATCTCAACATACCTCATAAGGCACACTAATGTGCTCTTTCATCACTGGATCAAAATCTCCAAATACTTCAATCATGCCTAAGAAATTTCCATTACCATCTACATGGATTTTATCACTACTTCCACGAAAGGCAACATTTTGTTTAGCAAGACCTTTTACCAATGCAATTATCCTTAGCAACACATCTCTCCAGTGTTTTTTTTCTTTGTTGATCTCTTCTTGAATATCCTTATCAATAGTCTGATTCTTCTGTAATCTCTCTTCCAACTCCAGCCACTGAATCATGCATGTAATATGCTTATGACTTTTTTCATGTTCCTCAGTTTCGAGACATTTCTCCAATCATCAGACCCACTAGTTGCCAACAAATTTATAGGTTTGTCTTGCGTAAACAACTTACAGCAAAAACAAAATATTTTGTCTTTCACTTTTGAGTAAAGTAACCAACGCCTATCTTGCTTCTCTCCATTCCTTATTTTTCTGGTATAAGACGAATGAGAAAAACATCTTCCTAAATAATCTTTTGGAAAACGATAATCAATTGAAGGTCTTGCCATTGGACCTTTTTCAACCATAAAATCTCTCATTCTTTTATCAACTTTTCCCCAACTTCCAGGATCATTTATATCTCCATCTATCTGATACTCTTTAGCATCATATGCTTTATCCTCTTCATTCTCATCAAGCTCATGTTCATTCTCATGTTCACCACTGTTCTCAGCTTGATCATGATTAGACCCACTAGCATCTTCACTACTTTTATTATTCTCTTCCTCCATAGATTCATCAGGTGTAGTAGCTTTAGATTTTGTTACATACCTTAACATGGAACCAGCCATTGAATTTGTTAGTGCTTCTTGCCTCTTCTTTTTTCTTATTTTTGCTGCACCTCCCAGCTCATTTTTTATTCTCTTTGAAGACATTAAACTACAAAAGAAAAATTGTAAATAATATATAGTTATGCAGACATAATATACAGGCTACTGTAGAACAAAATATAACACATAATATGATTATGTTTGTTTGGTTTAACACTTAACAAACCTGAGTTGATGATGATCGAGCTTTTTCAAATCACAATTTGGAAAATCCAAGGATTAAGAAGTGTGTTTTTTTTAAGAAGAGAAAGATGAGTTTCTGTTTTTTTCTCTGAACAAGAGGAAGAAGATGATACAGCGACGGTAGTTAGGTTTTTCAATTTGTCTTTTAGATTGTTTAATAGATAATTACTCTTTGTTAATTAATTGCTTAACTAAAAATAATTTTGTTTCCTTCTTTACAGGAATAAATAAAAGGAAAATTGCTTAAATATATAATTTTCGTTTTTGTCAATTTAATAAAAAAAGGAAAAAAAGATGGCTGTCAATTTAAATAAAAAAGGAAAAAAAGATGGCTTCAGCAGGGGTTTGAACCCGGATGGCCGGAATAAACAGACCAACTCCCTACCACTACACTAAAGATGCTTTATTGAAACTAAGGCCGATATTTTTTTTATAAATCTAGAGGCCGGAAGCTAATGCTTGTATTGCTTCCCCTCAGGGCCGCTACGGACCAAAACTATGAAAAATGAAAGCAAGACCTTGATCTTTGTAAGATGGAAAGCAGGGTTGATGAATCTACTGTGTTTAGCTCATTTATCACCATCATAACTATCGAGTCCACTGGCTATAAGTCTGCCCAAGGGGAATGTTTGTCTTCTCAGTTCTCAGGTAGCTCTAAAGCATCTTTGGTTCAAACCAACCACACTTCATAGTTTTCCATACCCCACCAAGACACAAAAGCTATAGCAACTGAAAGTCTGAAACTGTCACTGATGCAACTGATATCTCTATTTTCTCTCCTAGAGAAAAGAAATGGATAATTTGTTAACTTCTTGAAATGTAAAGATTTGAGAATTTAGGAGAAGATATTGGTGTGGTGATGTCTTAAGCACTTTATTTTTGGTGTTAAATATCAGCCAAGTTTTCTACAGTATTTGGTTTGACCAATGATATTTTGCTTTTAGTTGGAGTCTCATTAGTCGCATACTCACACGTCACTAAGGAGCAAGAAGCACACAGTTTGATTTGTGTGGGAAGGTGACAAAAACAGGAAGATATGTATTTTCCCATAAACTTGAGTGGCATGCATGCATGATGGGGACGTCGTCGACTTTTTTGACGTTTCTTTTACTAATAACATCCATTTGATTTTTCTCTTATTTTATCTATGTTTTTGACAGTAATGTATAGGAGTGGTCCTATGTAGTAGTAACACCCTCCACAGGCTTCACCTCTCTTCCAAATTGTTGTCCTACACTTACAAAAACTTGATGATGGTAACATCAACTGATAGCTTGAGCATAAAAAAGTTACAAATCTTCAAGTTAAGTTTCCTTACTCTTATTTTACAACAAGTAAATAAAGACACAAGTACCATCTTTGCATCCACAAAACATTTTATTCTTGATGACACCATTATAGAAATACAAAAAGAAATTCATAGCTTGTGTAGGATGAGATGGGCTCCAAACTGAGGACGAGTGGTCATGACCATCTGAGGCGAGTGAACATAAGAAGGAGAGAGCTCAAAGGAGAACTTTTGTAGAATCAAAGCCATTGCCATCTTAGCCTCCAACAGAGAAAAGTTCTGACCAATGCATATCCTCAGCCCCCACCCAAAGGGGAGAAAACATACCTGGTTCTTTGTTGCTTTTGAGATCCCATCTTTGAAACGTTCTGGTTTAAACTCCCCTGCATCCTCCCCCCAAAGCTCGGTGTCGCGATGAACAAGAGCAGTTGGTATATAAACTCTAACACCAGCTGGAAGTGTAAGCTCTCCTAGCTTCATTTCTTTGTTGGCAGATCTTTTAAGCTCAGCCACTGGAGGGTATAGCCTCAAAACCTCATTGAAGATCATACTCATCTGTTGACAAATGAAAGTTCAAGTGAATAACTGCAGTCTTGTTGTGCAAGTAACTAGTGAAAGTTTTACTTACTACTTTAAGGTTGCTAAGAGAATCTATATCAGGTTTAGTATCATTGGTAGCATCACCGAGTATTTGTCTCACTTCCTCTCTTGCCCTAGCTTGCCAGTCTTGGTGATGGCTTAACAAAACCATTGTCCAGACCAAGAGTACTGAAGTTGTCTCTTGTCCTGCGAAATAAAACAGCTTGCACTCTCTCAAAACTTCTTTTACGCTCAAACCATTTCCTCCAGATTCTTCTGAACCTGATGAAAGCAGTACCCCCAACAAATCTTTGTGTTCTGCTTCTCCAGCTTCCCTCTTACTCACCATACCTCTCAGTATTGTGTCTATTTCTTTGTCTATTGCTTTGATCCTCTTAGAACTTTTTGTTGGGAAAAACCTAAAACCAAAAACAACAAGTCGTCTCATAACTTTTCATAGTAGTTTAGTTTGTGACATGACAGGACAAAGACAATGTAGGTGGGGGTGTAAACCTTAGTCCAGGGATGTAAGGCTTCTTAAGCTCTTGTCCGATGAGACCAGATAGCTCCCCTTGAAGCTCAAATATTCTTTGTCCTTCTTTATAGCTGCTTCCAAAAGCAGCATGCGAGATCACATCCGCAGTCATACTCACAAGCCAAGGCCAAACATCGACCTCACAAGAAGACTCTTTATCTATAAACAGTCTCTCCCATTGGGACACAATCTCGCTTGAACAATGGTAGAACACAGGGAGCATGTTCTGTCCAAACCAAAAAAAGGATCACACACAGACATACTACATATACACAGTAATCAAACTTGATTCAGACATTACCTTGATCTTCTCCAGGTGAAAAGCAGGGTTGATTATCCTCCTGTGTCTTGCCCACTTATCTCCCTTATAGCTTGCAAGCCCACCTACTAACAATCTGATCAAAGGGAATGAAGTATTCTTCTCAAAATCGTTAAATTTAGTAAAAACTTCTTTGATGTGCTCTGGATTGGTTATCATGATCGTTGGAACTGGTCCGATCCATATGAAAAAAGTCCTTCCTGTTCCAAAAACATTACTTAAAACAAGTGCAAAACTCTAGTTCAAATACAATGGAGAGACACAGTACCGTGAGAATTAAACATCTTTAAAGTGAGAGGAAGGAGACGTGGAGTGATATCATCTGTTAAAGTGATAGGTTTAGATCTTGCCTCCATCAACATTTTAACATTCCTCTTAATATCACCTACAAGAGGTGTGTAAGGAGTTCCAGGGAGACCTTGTCTTCTCAGGTAACTCTCTAGCTTCTTTGGTTTTATCCACACCCACTTCACAACCCTTGTCAACAGAACTGCTAAAACCACCATAAAAGCTGCTGCTACTACTGAAAAAGACATATCTACTCTCTCTCACTCTGAATTATGAAAGTTTTGAGACCCTTTTTCTATTACTTAGAGTTTTCCACTGTACTATGGGACTATGTTTGTGCTTATAGGTTTTCTATCTTATTGCAGAAAGTTGTTTTTTAATACAAAAAAATCTTCAAAAGGGATTCACTAACTGATCTCTGGTCTTTTGTGAAGAGTAGTGTGGTTGGTTAAGTGACGTGTAAAGCAGCTTTTATGTATGAATTATGGAAAAAAAATGGTGTCTAAAGGTTTTCCACCTGAATCATACCTGAAGCACTTGTCTTATCTAATTGCATTTTTTAATCTTCAAAAAGATCCACTAAGCATTTTGATAAAATAAAAAAGAGAATCACTAATATTAAGCATCATTAACTCAACTCTTTTGCAGGTGAAGGTGATAACGGTAGTTCATAACTATCCACGCAACATATAAATCATACACAAGTACAATCTTTTACATCCATAAACACAGTTAATGATATCACCATATAAATACAAAAAA